AGCTAACTAGTTACAAAAGCAATGGATGTGTGATTTTTTTCCTCTGTGTGCATATAATGTGTGTTAAACACACAGTCTCAAATAGATCATCTACAACCAAGAAAAAAATGTATCAATCCCATTTTAAGCATAGTAAGTTTTATAATCAGCAGATTTTACTTTCAGTCAAAAAAAAAAAAAACAGACATTCACCTTAAGTGCTCAAGTTCTTTGCTTCTTCACCTACCAGTAAGCATGAGAAAAATGAGCAAAACTTGTGAAGGAAGATTGAAAACACTTGCTTTGCACTTACACTTCACTAAAATATTAAAAATATATTCATTTTTATTCTACACAAGGTTCAGTGAAAGTTTATCCAGCTATTTTACTTTCAAAAAAAAGGTCTCCATGACTCATCTTCAGAAAATCTTTCATTTAGATAATATCTTTCTCTTTTACAAACAATTCTCTAAGAGAAAGGCAAAAAAATAAAACTAAAAGAAAAAAATCTTTAATTCTTGGGAAACACAAATAAAGCTTCCACTGTCTGATTAAAATCTTTGATAGCAGTACAACAAAATATGCATTACACCTTAAAATTATCTTCTACTTTTGTAAGGTACCTCATAAGTAGTTCCATAGTGGCACGTATACTGGCATTGTCTGTTAGTCTCTGCATCTTGTTCAACGTTAGTGTAAAAAATTACTCCATCTCCAGAACAAGATACAATCTGTTTGTCATTGGTGCATGGCAAGAATTTTGCACTAAAAATATTTGCCCTGTGTCCTGAGCGAATGGTTGTTAAAACCTAGAAAGAAAGCAAGAAAGGCTTTATCAGATTAATATTTTCAAAACGAAAAAAGGGAAAATAATAATGACTCCAGTACTATACAGCTTCAGTTAAACATGGATTGCCTACAATATATAGTTCAATATTAACAAAGAAGATATTCTTAGAAGAAATTTGCTATATAGAAAAAGTGGCTCCACAACAGACATTCACTTGGCCACTTTCCCAACGTGGTCTGCAAAATGAAAGAACTAGAACGCAACAGCTTAAAGAATTTGTTTTATTTTCAAAGAGGTCAGTTACATATCATGTCAGGATTCTCAAAATAAAACATTAGTCCAGAAATCAGCATGCCCACAAGGACAGATTTAAAATATTGGGAACACTTAGGTCAAGGAGAATAAGACATTCTAAACCAATACAGCTTTATAAACTTTTAAAAATTGTTTATAATGATTGATTGATTGATTTTAAGGGTGGCAGCGCTTAATATAAATTCACTTTAAAGAGAACTGAAATTTTTAAGAAAAGATAATTTGAAGCTAGAAAAAAAATAAACAAAAAATGAAGAGCATTATTACTGAGCAGTAAACTAACAGTTCAATTAATCTTTTAACAATAAATTTTAAATGATCAGTGTCATCTACCTAAAAGCAAAGCACAGCAGCATGTATTATTTTACCATCACAGTTGGTTTTATATACTTTATGCTGACTTTCTATATTTCCTAATACATTTTTGATTAGGCTATTAAAACCGAAAAACCTCTCTGTGCTTTCCCATGTGGTGGTGAACATCACAGACTTACCTTATTTATCACATCTGTGGCAGTTAAAGCAAACTGCATTTCCACACAGTATTACATGAAAAAGATACTTACCAAGTTGTTTATATAATGAAAATAAATTCTGAATTCCCACTCAATTAACATAATGAAAGAAAACATTATATAAATGAGGTTGCTCTCTCAAAGTAGCGGGTTTCTATTATTTTACAAGTGCTATTTTGCACAATTTAATCAATTCACAAAAAATTAACAGTGTATCTGCATATTCTGAAAGATGTACGGAGATCAGTATTTTTCTTAAAAAAAAACTACTGACTTCATTGCAATATATCTGCCTCTTTATTCAGCTTGGTTCAGGTTTCTCCATTTTACCAAAAATCCTTAAAACTCAGATATGCAAAAGAAACAAAAGACACACACTAGCAGAAAAGTAACTAATTTACTCAGAGGTTGCCATTCCCAAGGTTCCTTAGCTCAGGTGGTAATTAATAACTAAAATAAAAGATGGGATTGACAGATGACATGACTTTATGGGTGTTAAAGACATATTTCCTGACACCAAAAGAATCTCCTGTTCACCCTCCCCCTAAAAAATCTAAACAATGTTGGGCTTTTCTACCATTCTAAGATTCTCCTTCCCTGTTCAGTCACTCATCCCTGTTACTGAACACACTCATGTAGCCTTTCTTCACTTTGCTCTGCTGCATGGGGTCTCTCTATCATCAAGTTACAGAGGCTTCCTGCTTTCCGTTTTTTCTTTCTCACTAACTCCAAGCTAAGTTGCTTGCTTTTGATGCAAGCTAATTTATTATAACTTCCTGCTTCTGTTTTCCCCATTTGGGGCTCTCAGTTCAGATGTGAGATCTGCATTTCTTCGACAGTCCTCAAACTTGGAAATATTCAGAATTTTCTTCCCCTCCACTGTAAACTTAAACAGCACTCAGCAATACACACAGACACACATTACCAGAAGAAGAAATAATTTTGTTACGTAGACCTAACCCTGACTGGCCTATCCCTCTATTTCCTGCTATGTTGTATGGTATTGCAACAGAAACTATTGCATAGAAGTACTACAGTATAAATGTGCTCCTGACTGGCCTATCCGTCTATTTCCTGCTATGGTATGGTGGTATGGTATTGCAACAGAAACTATCGCATAGAAGTACTACAGTATAAATGTGCAAGATTTTCCACATCCTTCATTTGCACTGCATGTCCTTTGCCACCCTACTTGTTTCCTTCTCTAAGGCACCACAGTAAGAGAGGCACTGCCTGTGCCTAGTCAAGAAATAAAGCTAATCCCAAGAGCCTATCATTGGATGTCACAGAGGAACATAAAAAAGAAAAATCACTACCAACATACCACAAGCGTCAAATACTTAATGACCAAGTTAAAACTGAAGGAGGAGAGAGAAAGAATTCCAAACATTTTTCAAAGTAGTTGACCAGCTGTAGTACTTCAAATTAGCTTTTCTTGAGTTTTGCATTACACGGAAAATCAATTGGAGAGGCAACAAATTTGAGATTTCAAGTTCCACCTCTTAAAGCATAAACTAAATATTTGGGACAGGATTTCTAATTCCTCTAACAATAACATAAACTTGCATACAAGCTCCATAACAATACGCACTTTATTCCAAAAAGGCATATACAAGATCAGCGCACGTTTTGGGAAATCCAAATAAAGAAGCTTTATATTAAAGAGAGAAGTCATCAACAGCAATTTTAAAAGAATACTAAATGCTAAAACCTGTAAAAGGAAGTGGTCTTACAACACTGAAATAAAAACAAGTCAAATATCAGTATGTAACTAGGTCTTTCTGGACATAGTTAACTTAAAGGGCTCACTCAAGCTATTTAGCACTAATTCTATTATAACCAGCTTTTCTAAGCATTTTCTTTGAAGAGGTCAAAATCCTTGGCTGGGACAAACCCAAACCTTGAAACAAACCCAAAGGAAACTTGTCCTATGGTGAAAAGTAGCAATCCTTATTCCAGAAAAACAAAAAACATACATTTCACTCCCCCAAGCATACCCTAAAGCCTCTCCAACTCTCTCACATCAGCAGAGCCCTTTCCCTCTCAGAAGGCCAACTGGGCTAAGGATTCAAAATCTTTAGTGTAGCTACTCATGAAAATCCTTTGGTCACACTGGCCACTATGTGGAAGAGAACAGTGAAATGAAGTTCGGAAGGAGCTCCCCATCAGAAAAACTATTCTTAGCTATCCCAAAGCATAGAGTGTTTATTTGTTGCATTAATCTCATCATGAATTTTAGAAATCACAGTAACACAATTCTCGGATACATAAGCAACAAAAATATAATCTATTGAAACCTATTGAAACCACATAAATATACTTAGAAAAAAAAGAGACAAATACATGGTAGTACTTAACAGCTGCCTCTATACATACCTCACAAACTAGAGTTACATAAATCTCAAGTAAATAAAGAATTAAACAAGTTTAGATACTTCCTATTAAACAGGATGTTTTACTAATACAGAACGTTATGTTAACTGCTGAAATCTATTTTAGCTCTAGCCAGGCTTGCTCATAACACGAAATGTGGTGATGAAAATATCAGCAAAGGAAAGAGAATTACAGCAGTTCTGGTACCAATATCAGTTTGTTCTCTTTTTCTTTTGTTACTCAAATCAGAGAAAATAAGCTAACACAATTTTGAATAACAGACATGAAAACAAAAACAAACAAACAAAAATCTCATATTTCATTAACAACACACGCTACTGAGTCTTCTTGCACCTAAGCACCCACTGTTATATAACTACATTTGCACATGTTTAAGTATCTATCTGCTCTTCTGTTACTAAAATGCAGAATACAAAAATAACTCATCTGACTTTTGAAAAATACCACATCCCCTAGATTCTTACTTAACTGCAGCAATAGTAAACAAGGAAGAAAATCCCAAACTCTTCACCTAGAAGCATGAAGTTTAAGTGAGCACTTCTACTAAAATATTATTATAATTGTACAATGAATAAATACTTGCACCAAAATTATTTTATACTGATATGTTAAAATAAATCATGTCCAGTAAGTAGTATCAAACACATTTAACTTTACAATTTCTTTAAAAATTTATGAGTCTCTCCAACAATATTCACTTTGAAATATTGCCCTCCTCCACTCCTCAATTGCTTGGATACCTCTTCTTCCTCAGGTGAACCAACAGTCCAACAGAAACCCCAGCCTGATAAAACTGATCAGAGCTTTATCAGAGTAGAACCAGTAATAGAAAGGAACTGATACTGCTTGGAGGCTGTAGATCATTTGAAGAAGTGGGGAAAAAAAGACTTACTGACCAGCACAGGCTACACCCCAGATTGCTATTACTCTCCCATCTCCACTCTTCATGCAAAGCAAGTATTTCTGTCTCTGTAGCTATTCAAACTCCTACACAACAGCAAACACACATTTTGGAACCCCCTTCTGTATTTTAATTTTCTGCACCTCTTAACAGTTTAGTCTTAGTGTGGAAGAGGAGACTTGGAACATCAGTGCATAGGATTCCCAGAACTGAAGGACATAGTTCAGAGTGCGTCTTCTAACAAACTATCAGCAGCTTTTTAAAGAGCAAACACTAGAAATTCTGCTACTACCTGACAGTTGCTAGCTGACAATACCTCAAGTCCTTTTGCTGCAACATAATTAGTCCAGTTTAGTGCAAAAAATAGAAGAGATGTCTACAACACATTTCTCCACAAACCTGCTTCCCCTATTTTAGTACAAACTCTTCTCCATCCACATACGTGCATTCACAAGGCAGAGTCATTTTAAATAATAAGGTATTTTAATTCAGATTGACACTTTGTTTCAATTTTACACATAAAAAACCCTCAAAATTACACTATGTAAAAGACAGCACAATATTTTAAAGTTAAAATGAAACAGAAGGTAATTCATCACAAGATTTCACAAGAATTACTGAAACCTGTTACTCATTCAGATATTAATCTGTTGTGACACTTTGTTGCTTTTGTGACAGACCACCTCCCATAAAACAGGGTAATACCTACTCCTACTCACAAGGGATAATAATACTAACATTTTATTCCCTTCTGTAGAATACTACAAGGTGCCTGATACTATCTTTGTCACATAACAGTCGCTTTTGAAAAATAAAAACAAGTCTTATTTGAAACTCGCTGAATATCCAGAAACAAACTTACCTTTCTGCTATAAGGATTAGTAATTACCAGGTTGGTATCATCTGAACCAGATAAAATATATTCTCCTGTATCATTCCAGCAAATTGTGTTCACCTGTGTGAATTAACAGAAATTAGAGTTAAACAATTTCATTTTTTTCTAAATTTATAGAATATTAAAATATCAATACAGTATATTTATTGAACACACACAAAAAAGAATTAACAAATTCATTAAAATCATTTCTAGGAACCTAGTACAAAAGAAAGTGTTTTTAAAACAAATTGATAGAATAATCACCTATTTCACCCATGGTCCTCCATTTGCATCTCAATTGCTCCCTTTGCTCCTGAAGATGATGCAAGAAGAGTCCATCAGACAAACTAAGCTTTTCAACAAAAGCCTCAGCGCCCAGAATTTTACATACTTGGGTGCTTTTATGTCCCCAATATACTCTGCAAATTTCTCTGAATTTTAATTGGAAGGCATCACAGCGCTCTCATTATTCTATTTTCAGGTTATCCAAATTCTGAACATCCACTGCTTCATACACTTTTCAATAACCACCCATTCCCAAGGATCTTGTGGAAGCCTTCCCACTTGTGAAGAGTACTGTTAGCTTTGTTATAACCTCTTAGCTCCAATCAATCCCCACACTGGACAAATGCTCATCTCTTGAGTTCAGTATGACTATCTTCAGAATCCAAAAGAATGCCACCAGAGGCGTGGACAGGATATCACACACTGCCCTTCTGTTTCCTCAACAGCCTGTACTTGCCACTGTCAGAGCCAAGTCACCAGGCCTAACAGAGCCTTGCTATGATCCACTATGGCTGCCCTTGTGACTTGATAACCCCGACTGTTAATCACCAAGAACGGTGCATTCAACTTTGCTCCCAGATCCAGGTAACACTGAACTAACCTGACAACTACGGTAGCTAAAAAATGTAGTCAAGCACAACAGAGTATTTCAGGTAGTGAAAACACAAAAGTCAAGGAAATTAATTTGCATTTACGTTTCCTTTTAGGCAGAGAAACACTATGATTGCTTTAAAGCAACAAAAATGCTAGTAACAAGATACAAGACTAGAAACAAGAACAAATCGCACATACACACAACACTCCCCTCCCACGAAACACACAGACTACACAAAGGAAGACACAAAAAAAGAAAATGGGAAGGAAAAGAGCTAGCACAAAAATGAAACAAAATGGAGGATGTCCAGAAAATCTAAAGGACAGGAATGCAGACAGACAATATGGAAAGGCGAAATGGGGAAGCACAATGATAATCTCCACTAAAGATTATCTCCAGAGGCTCCCTCCAACCTCAACCATTCCGTATGTGATTCTGTGATATATCATTCTCCTTTTAAATTCCGATTTCATTGCTCCAGCTTCCCCAGTGTTGACCAGTTATAACTTACTTTGTATGGGCAGAATTTGTCCCAGAAAAAAAAAAAATGAAGATGATGTAACCAAACGTATGTTAGAAGTCTCCAACTAAACAGGTTTAATCCTTGCCAGATCACCTTCTAAATATTATTCTTTTAATGGAGTATCAAAGTCTTACAGTGGAATAAGCTTGATTTTATTTTTCCAGATAAAATTGTTTTTCCAGTAAGCGATCACTTAAACTATATTTCAGTGTTCAGGGGAACATAAAGAGCAACAGTGTATAATGCAAATAAACAGACATATGGATCACTAGGGACAAATGCTCCATCCTCGTGCCCTATTCCCAGGTAACAGATTCACTATTAAAATTTACTCTAAAACGAAGACCAGCTAGAAAAATTGGTTTGTATTTCAAGCCCACAGATAAAAAACACATACACACTACCTAGCTTCCCAGCCATCACTGCAACGCTCAGCTAAAAGCCTCATGTAACAGAAAGGATATACTGATCAGAGCTGACACAGGATTACCAAAAAGATGAAAACATTCAAAGGCCCTGCAGTGAAGTTTTTCTAAGTATTTTACTTCAGTTGTTTTTTTTTGTTTGTTTAGGGGTTTTTCTAGGGGGGAGGGGGTTTGTTTGTTTTATTCTGTTTTGCTGCTATTGCTCCACTGGCTTTGAAAGGAAGCAGCAGGTATTAATTGAATACCTGCTGCATGGACTAATTGAATAGTCAAAACATATTTACTATCTCTGTCTTCTTCTAAAAGAAAATTCAGGAAGCAGTACAGTCAATCCTTAAAAGACTGAAAAAGCAGGACCATCATTCCCATGCAACATAACAGTAGAATTAACTTTTTGTAAACCAGATAGATTGGCAGCATACAAGGGACAGGGTTAAAAAAAAAAAAAAAAAGGGAACAAAAAATACTCAGAACAGTCAGAATATCAGAAAGATCCCCAAATAAGGAACGGGGTGAAAAAATCAATTACTTTTATTATTATTATTAGGAAGAAAATATAAGAATTGCATGTTCTAGCAAAATGCTAAACATACTTTCTATGCTAATTTAAGCGTAGCTTTGACGACTATCTAAAAATGACTTGCTTCCAAGCGCTATCCTGAGGGAGAAATATGCCACACAGGACACTGAGTGTCTATAAACAGAAATGGAAAATTATCCCACCAAGTGGTCCTCTTTAATTTAAAAATGTACTATTTGCTTATGTCAAAGGATCCATCTACCTATATATAGCCTACATCTCTTCTACCTTTCTCATACAGTTTTCACAGCACCAGAACTGGAATAAAAAACAAATGATATTTTAATTCCAATTCAATATGCTCTAGAAATGCTTTTTCCTCCTTCCTTCCCTCCCCATTTCATTACTTCATACTGATCTAGAGATCCAAACTAATAATCTGTCAACGTGCCCTAGGCGACCCAGAGTGTGCAGGGGTTTGGTCTAGATGATCTCCAAAGGTCCCTTACAACCTTAATGATTCTATGATTCTGTGTTTTCCTCACTTCAAACAAAAAGCATTTTACCTAGTTTTAGACATCTACAGCTTGAGCAGAACAAAGGAGCCTGTGCCTTTACAAATAAGGGAGTTAATCCACCTTCTTTAGCAAGCAGGACTAGGGAATACAGGCACGGAGGTCGTGCTATAGGCATGCGACTGGGTGCAGCTGACTGCACCCTGGAGAAAAACAGGAGGGGGGCACAGCGTTCCTTGTCAACAAATGACCTCAGAACGAACCTTAGTAGAGTAGGTGCAAGTGTAACGAGCTAATGAATATTAACTTTTACACCCAAGGGAGGCATAAAGTTGCTTTAATTAGACATAGGATGTATGACCAGGGAGGGGGAACATATCAAGAAGCAACATATGTTAGGCGGGCCAAGAAGTCTGAAACTTCCGAGGACCTTGGCTGATGGGGAAAAGCAGAGGGCGTACCTTGGTCAGGAAATCAGGAAAAGGAGGCTGCGTCCTCCAGTAATTTGAGACACCCCACAGGGGTATGCTCTGAGGACTCTTCCTTTATTTGAACAAAGTTTTAAGACTCCTCTGTCTCCTTTGTGGACATTCATTTTTTGACAGTGAGATTTTCTGCACAAGCTGAAGTCCTGATCCTCCTAAGCTACATTTATAATTAATATGGGAAAACAGGAACTTCTACTAGGGTACATACCACTTAATTCTGAATCAGACAACATGAGTCTTGTTGAAAGTGGCAAAGTATACCCTAGAAGCAAGATGTTACAAGCAGACATCATCAACTAGATAGACATACTTAGTGACTTCCTATTATTGCTAGAAACTGTACTTTCAAATGAAGTTAAAAAACAAAGGCAAGAGATACAAGGAAGAATGGAATATTATATTACTTCAGAGAAAATGTAATGTAAATCCTGAGTTAAAAATACTCATATCCTCCCCAAAAAGATGCTATGGCAACATTAATGCTATGAAAACATTAATGCTACGAGTTGAAGTAAATTAAGAGAACTATCACTCTGTCCCAAGTTCAAAAAAAATTTTTTTAAATCTTAATGTGAGTATTGCACATACTCATATCTCCCACAAGGTGCATCTCCTGTGCCACACATAGATGTGCTAGGAAGGAAGTTAGACTTTAGTCTTTTTGCCTCAAGGGGAAAAAAAAAGTCTGCCTTAAGTATGTTAGCTGCAGTATGCAATAGCACAGTTGCTGTCCATAGTAAATACAAGTTCCAACTCATGCTACAGAAGAACATAAATGTTCTTAAACAACAACAAAAAAGACAACTATGACATTCATTACTCGCAACTGAAATGCAAGCTGATATAGCAAAAGACTAATCTGTTTACTTAGCGGTTTTCATATAAGCATTTTGTTCCGCAAATACATTATAATTTCATTTACTTTTATTTCCTATATACTTAAAACCAATAATAAAAAAATTTTTGAATGGTTATTAGGCAAAACACATTATTCCCTGAATATATATATACACACACACACACACATATATATACATAGAGAGAGAGTGAAAATTAAGTAATAACTCATACCATCCCATTCTTTTAAAGATCAGTAGTTCTGAGCAAATTTGTTTTCTAAAGATTCCTTTCAAATTGTAACAGAGTTTTTTAAAGTCTGTATATTAAAAGTTCATAATTAACATTTTCCACACAATAAACCAAAAAAGTTAGGCCATGTGTTAAAAACTAACTCTGTCAACCCAAAACCATGTGTGCCTGAACACTGAAATTATATTTGTATCCAGTATAACAAGAGTAGCCATTTTTTAGATAGCAATTCTAATCTTTACCTTTTTCACTCTTCAGCAACTCTCAAAAACATATCCAAGTCACAATCATACATTTGATCTTATTGATTTGATTTTATTAAATTGCTTTTTAAAACTAGTGACATGACTACTACTAAATTAAAAATGCTAGAGATCTTTATCTTGAGCTGCTCGCATGTGAACAATTTTTAATTAAAATTTTAAATTTACATATGTATTTTTACATTTTTCAAAGTACTTAATATTTCAACACTTTTCAGTTATCTTGTATGACAAAGAATTCCTTAACAAATCCTGATCATCTACTCTATTTGTCAAAGGTAAGACGGGAAAGAATCCTATCACAACTTCGTAATCTCTTAGATCTATCTCTTCTATCTCTTAGATAGAATTAAGGCTACCCAGTACTCCAATAATCCTCTGCTGACAAATACCCCCAGCTTATATATAAACTTGTTGTTGAACAACAGTGAATAAGAAAGCGTGTCATGCATGTGCGAGCATGGGAGCACTGGATATAAACAAACACACACTCTCTTTGACCTACATGCAGCTTAAGTAATTTTTTTTTTCCTTAAGACAATATTATTTGTAGTGGTCAGACCACTTTCAAAAATTAAGCATTTAAATGAACAATACTTTAAGTGATGTTACTGACTTTCAGGAGAGTGTTTTTGCTGTTACTATTGTCTCTTTAAATAAGTAATAAAACACTCAAAACACTAATTTGGTAGTAGGATGCAGTATTAAGTATTGGAATTGCTAGAATCCCTTGTTTTGCTTCAAAAATAACATGCCAGCCATTTAAGAATAAACAAATGCCTAGAGGACTCAGATGCAGGTCTTTTAAGTGGAGGTTTCCAGTTCACTTTCGATGAATGGTATTTGCATTTTTATATGAAGGAACTCTTACTGTGGCAATAAAACACAATTTCATATCCTTTAACAAACAAAAATGTAACAGGTCACTTACACAGCCATCATGCACATTCAAGGTTGCTTCAAGTTTTAATCTTTGGATAAATTCTCTTCTCCCTGTGAAGAAAAATATTAATTATATACTCTTTTAGAAAGCTAAAACTGAAGAAGCACTTAAGAACATATGCTAGACACTAACAAGCAAAAATATAAACAGTATAGAACCAGAATATAAATGTGTGTCTTAATTCATAATGTTCTGCATTTTCAAATGCTAACCAAATATCACATTTGCTAGCTGTTTGACCACCTTTAAAAAGACTGCAGAAACAGTGAAATTAGCATTTCAGATGCTAATTCAGATGGTGCCTCTGAAACTAATAGCTATACAACTGAAAATAGCCCTACAGTTATTAGATCAACTTAGTGAAATCCAACAAGTACGACATCATTTATAAAGTACAACATTTTGCATAGGAGTTTAGCAGGGGGAAAACACATTTAGACCTCAGGTAGGAAGTGAAACATGGTCCCACAATATCAACAACGAAATACAAGTTGATCTTCCAAGTGCCATTTACAGTTCTTCATTTGCTCTTAACATAGAGAAGCAACCAGCTTCAGTATTGTTATTAATGTTTACACTTTGAAATGCAACAAAAGCAACCGGACAGAAGTCTAGTTTACCATTCCACTCAACACCTACTCAAATAATAAAACACAGCAAAAGCCTTTGAGAAAGATGAAACACAATCAGCAGAAGAATGAAGAGAGAAAAAAAAAAAAAAGATATCCATAAATGCATACTGAATAAACAAGGTCCCATGAATTTTATGTCCTTTTTCTCTCCCATAAGAGAGCTGACATACAAATGGCACTTAAAAAAAAAAAAAAAACTATCATACTATATACATGGTGATTAAAAAAAAAAAAAAAAAAGAAAAAAAAAAAAAACCATGACCAATTCCTGACCTGAGTGCTTAAACAAATGGCTCCAACTTTCATTTCAGGAGTCCACATTTTATGAAAACTGGTAATAATGAACCCAAAAATCCCTGAAAAGCACATTCAAGGAAGGCAAACATTGACAGCCAAATCCTTTTGCTTAAATCATAGAAGTACTTGAACTCAAGGACCATTATCGTTTTCATCTTGTGTTTGTACAACTCTCAGAACTCTAGAAAATAGCACTAGACTGCAAGGCGATGTTAGCTTTGGTATTTGAAAAGAATGAACCTAGTGAATTCATTTGAAAATCATTTTCCTTATACGAAATTAAGGAAGTAGGGAAGAGAAAACTGCAATGATAGAGCCCCTCTCCATATCTGAATATCCTAGATTTTAGAACTTGTTTTGGTCTAGCTCAAGGAAGAACCCATTTCGGAGCTCGGTGTTGCCTCTGACACGCTAGCACAGATTTGGGGAAGCAAGCTCCTCTCTCTGCTTGTTTCCTCTTAATATATTTTATTTGTCTCAAGTACCTAGGTTAGTACTGGAGTTAAAAAAAATAATAATAAAATAAAGAAAAGGTTGATTATCAAAACCTGGCCCCACTCTGGGCAAGCAGAGTGCCACGGAACAAAGGTCTGAGAAGCGAGCACTCCATGAGCGGCATTTTCAATCAAAGCCAAAGAAACATAAATTTCCACAAGTACAGCTGCACCTCACTAGCTGTTCATGCAGCTTTCTGGCCATGAGAAGGTATGTCCTCGTGCCATGCTTGTGTTAAAACTAGTCACCTCCAGAATTCTGAATCACTCAAGAAGGATCAAAAAGTACCCACTGTACTTTTTAGGGACTGCAAGCAGACACCAGTAACATAGCCCTAGTACCACACTAGGTAAAGATTGTATTCTGTCAAAGCAGCTTTTTGGAAAAAACCCAGATATTGATTGGGTTAAATGGCCATACAACGCCTGCTTTTAAAGCACATCTACACCAGCTTTAATGAACAAATACAGAACATACTTCCTTGCTTATTTAGTATATTAGCTTTCAACATTACTCTTACTGGAAAGCAGTTGCTCTTCTTTCATTGTTACAGATGTACACACAGCTAGAATTAAAAAGACACATCCTTGAGATTTCCTGATAGATTTACAGCTGTTTCCAGTACCCTCTCTGTATAGTTTGTGGGCTATTATTTCTTTTTATATATAGAAATGAATCATTGCTGTTGAATGTTCAGTGCACCAATTAGCACAGAAACAAAACACATGAGGAACAGCCACTGAAAAAGTGGCCATTGAACCTATTACATTCTTTTATCATTTTTCAGTATCAGGCATTTTAACCCCAGGATCTCAGCAGTTTCTGAGAACCTTGGCATTCATCTACATTTAAATCCAAAATTTCTAGCTCTCACAACTGCAGAGGAAAACTTTAAAAGATGAATTCTCATGTGTCAAAGAAAATTGAAAAGAAAATATAATTTTGAAGATTCAGGATCAACTTAAAACAAGTTTAGAAATGACAGTACTGAAACTGCCAGTCTGTGATTTAAGAGTGAAACATCTCTGGAGAGACTCAATTAATATGTGCTGCTGGATTTACTTAAAGCCACATGTAAACATCAGAAGAGAAACTAACATTAAATAAAAAAATGATAATGACCTAGTCACCAAAGCTCGTTGCGGACAGGTCACTGCAGTTCTAAATGTATCGAGTAAAGCAAATGCCAGAAGTGATTGGAACAGCTTAGTTTACTAAACAGTAGTATTAAAATAGCAATAGAAGTAAGGCTGCATCCCAGAAGTACCACAACTTCCATACCATTCCAGTTAACTATGAATAACACTGGAAAGAGTTCAAAATTACATAAACTTAATCTTATACACCAGACACTGTTAGTGAGAACATGCATATTGTCAAATGGGAAAAACACCTACCTAGTTCACCATCCTTACTTTACAAGGGTCCAGCACCACTGTTTTCCTCAACACTGACTCTTAATTAAGTGCAAGCTCTGTGGTGGGAACTAGCATAGTGATAGATACAGGTGACCTGGATGCTTACGTACTACTTTACATATTAGGAGTTCAATACAGTTTGCTTCTCTAGTGAAGCCAAAGTGCAAATACACTCATTATCTTTACAGGCTCTATAAGAGCCACAAATTAAAACTGTTTCTTTCCCCTTTGCACCCCACCCCCATGTGCCACCAGAAACTGAATAATCAGATTGAGAGGATGCTTCAGTATGCCACTTCTTATAATAAAAGTCCTTCTTTTATGACAGACATCAAACAATCAAGCTGTCAACACAAAGATCATTTCACTAGATAGTGGAACATAGTTTTAGGTTTGCTTTCTATCTTGCAAGTTATCAACAGCAATCAAGAACCATTGTGTTAAAACAGCAATAATGACTTACCTGTCAAGTGTTTACATAGCTGAAATTTGGAAAGCTATCAAGCTAGCACTCCACATATCCATCTTCAGCAAACATTATGCACTAATGAAGCCTCAAGATAAATGTCACTCTCAGTGCAACTTTCAATATCTTCTTTAATTTGTATAACACTAACAGGTCACATTCTTATGGAAGGAACACTACTTGGAGGCAGCTACAAAGTGAATTTAAATATGGAAAAAACACACAAAAAAAGAAACTGAGGTCCCTTACTTGTAACTGTATTTCTTCAAAATGTTCCCTTGCATATAACTTAAAACCCTTGCTAACTCCTCTCCAGGGAATTATCTAAATTCAGCATTTGGGCACTTCTATAAAAACGTCATCTCACTTCTATCAAGCATGAAGCCAAACTACCACAGTGTCTCTCATATTCCCCACCTAGAGCAATTATGACACCATTTAAATAACAATTTTTAGTTTAGAAATTGCTAGTTAGGTGCTTACACTGACATTTTGACAGAGATACAGGTACATTTCTTTTGCAAGCCACATGAAGAGTTTAATGCTTCAAGCACTCAAAACCTGTGTGTTTTTAAAAATGTACTTCAGGATTTTCCATTGAAAAGGAGAGCTTCATGAACAAGCCCTAAACTTGAAAGTACATCTGTGCTGTACAGAAATATAAGCAAACTTCGATTCAAAGCTGCACCATTGTGTTCAGAGAAAAGATAGCTCTTATTTGGAAAAGCAGCAATAGATTCTGTTTGTCAAATGAACACTCATTTATGTCAAGCTGGCTCTTTCTAAGGCCAAGTGCCTCACTGCTAGCTTGCTGTGACATTTGGAATGCCCTAGTTTAAAACTGAAACAGAGCCAGAGCCCATCCCCAACACAGAGCACATGTTACCTTCTACTTTAAAACCATTTAAAAAATACTTTTGATTTTCTAGGGGAGAGTTTGCATACTTCTGAAGTATATTTTCATGAAAAGATGGCAAATCCAATTCATTTGTACACAGGTTATTTGTGCTGAATTTACGATGTTAAACTCTGCAAAATAACCCATGACTCAACCCGCTGGTCTCCTCAGCAAAGGGTTTTTGAATATCCAGTATAGCCAGTAAGCAGAAATCTCCACATACCATACAGCAAACAAGACACTACAATATACACTGAAATAGCTTTCATTGAAGGATGTTAAAATTCTCAAACATTAATCAACATTTTAAAACATCTGTTAGCTGCACAGACCAACAGTGGCCCCTTTTTTATAGGCACTGAAATTGCGGCACAGCAAACTGAAGCAACTTATCAAAGGATATACAGTGAATCAACAGCAGTGCCAGAAATAAAACCTATCAGCGTGACCTCCAGGCTTTTGAGCAAGGCTCTCCATTATATCTTCTTATTGTTCTGTATACCAAAAAAATAAATAAATCATAGTTCTTGATTTTATTAATGTAAAACAATTATCTTTCAAGTTACTAAGGAAAAGCACCACACTGTGGTTTAAATTTGAAACTGTTAACCCAAATTCTACTCAGCTTTTCATGATACATTACCACACCAATAAAGGAATACTGAATGCTATATGGAAAACTCAAAATATTTTAATTGATACAAAGAGACCTACCTGCCATTCTAATATCCAAGATTTTTATTACAAAACACGTAATAAACTTACATCCAAATTACAAGATTCACTTTAGAAAATATTTTTTTCAGAACTTTTACATGTGAACGCAACGACAAAAACTATAGAACATTGGACACTAC